AAAATTAAGAAAAATAAGTGGGGCTTAGCAAGTGTAGGGAAGAAGGGATCGCTTTGATCCCTGCTTTCCCATCCATTTGTTTTTGTTCTCTCAGCTTACTTCCGTGTATAAGATGACCCTCAATTTTTAGTCTAAAGATTTTAGACAAAAGTATAGTCTTAAACATGGAAAAATACGGTAATGGCTAGTATCCTGTTGGCAACATGGTAAGGGCTGTTGGTAAGGGCTTCATGGGCAGAGTACTCTGGATTTGGCTTGGCAATCTTCAGCTTGCAATTATGCAAGTGAGATATTGCTCCATTGACAGCAACAGGCTTGCTGAATTTCCCTTTGTATGAGCAGAAGGGAAGGAGAAACTATGCACAGAACAGACTGTTTTGCAGTGTGTTCACCTCTACCAGGATATTAGCCAATGGCTATTAATTGCCCATACACGACCAAGACACCTTCAAACACAGGGATAGTTTGCAACAATATATTGTTCCTTAGAAAATCTGTTTTTCTCCCAGGTATAGTGAGCATTGCAACTAAGTTCAGGGAGAATAGGGAAGCCTGAGGGCTTGGTGTGTATGATGTCATAGTTCCTGCTACTGAAAATGTCCCACGGCATTGACCCTGTGAGCCGTGGTTTCACTACATCACTGCTTACAAGGGAAGCAATGTGTTTCATTGTGAACCTTACGTATCTATCATGAGTGCAACTTCATCCAGAACAATGGAATACTTAAACCAGGGAAGTGTCCACTTACAGTGCCCCTGCTTTTTTAAGGGCTGAATTTGTTTATCCTTACCTAGCCTATTATGAAGCTCAGACTCTTTGACCACTCTGCCTCAATTACATGAAATGAGGAAATATACTGTAGCTGAGTATCACAAGTATATTGTTAACGGTTAAGCTAAATCACTGGATGACATCACTCAGCAGTTTCATATCGATGATAAATGCCATGAGACACAAAGGGGAACATTGGGGTACCACAGAAAACAAGTATGTGCATTCAATCAGTTATTCTTAAAAGAGAAGGTTTTAGTACCAGCCATGCAGATAGGAATGGACCCACTATAATATTGTGCCCACAAGTCACTCTAGTGACCTAGAAGGATATAATGGTCAGTGATGTAAAAAGAGTCACACAATGCTCCATTTCCCTTCCACTGTAGGTCATCCCTTCAGGTGCTTGAGGCACTTTCCGTGCCGAAATAAGTGGTGAATGAAAGGGGTCTAGAACAAGAGTAGGCAATCCTTGGCCTGCAACATGCTTTGGACTTTTCCTCCCAGAAGACCTAGCTAGCAAGACCAACCACAAGGACCAACCATCAGTAAGTACAAAATATCTAAAATATCTGAGGTTCCTTAGTCCCAGGTGGGATAAACAATTTCACAGTTCACTCAAGTATTTTGTACACACAGGACATATTCAATTCACAAAACGTATTGCGAACGTGTCACAAGGGATTGTTAACGGTTAAGCTAAATCACTGGATAACATCACTCAGCAGTTTCATATCGATAATAAACACCATGGGACACAAACGGGAACATTGGGACACCACAGAAAATAAGTATGTGCATTCAATCAGTTAAAAGAGAAGATTTTAGTACAAGCCATGCTCTTAGGATTTCTGTACAAATGGGGAAGTTCTGGAGGACCTACATCACTCAAAACAAAGCTTCACTCTGAAGGGACAACTGAGGTGGTGAAGAAACTTCACCACCATCATCACCAGCACTGAGAAGGTTCATACATATTCAGTACAATTGTAAGTTTTCTGGAGCCTTAACAGTTCCCAGACTACTAATCACACCACAAATGTCTTGTCTATATGCATATTTCCAGCAGATGTGCTTTAGCTAATCACTGCATGTAAGCATACTTCAAAACACATAATACACTGTGCTGATTCCAGCTTCCTGCATTCCAGGATGCTATTGGCCTCTTTGCAATATTTTCTTAAGAGCAAGTCTTTCATCAGGAACTTATGTTGTGGGCTTTCATGCTGAAATACACCGAGACTTAGAGTTGATACAGAAATTCTGCAAAGCATTTGTGTCTCTAACTGTAAATTTGCAACAGCCATCACCAGAGCCAACCTGGCAACGGTAACAGGAATGAGCAATCTCTTCCATTCACGTAATGTTGCACTGATCATGGAAATAAATCGTCTAGCCTGAGAATAGATTAAAATAATGACTACAACATGATTTCATGACCGTTCTCTTGGATTCAGGTGTGATGACTACAAACACTATTGGCCAAATTGGCAATATGACTTTTCTGACACAAGCTGACCATCTCTAAATCAGGCGAAAGAGTTCGCCACACTGCCCAAATGAAGAGACTTCAATGATCAATTTACAGCCTACATATGTCTTTAAAACAGAAACATGATTCCCTCCATTAAATGAAAACCCTTAGAGAAGTCCACAGAAGCCTTAGATGCTAATCTGCACATGGGGGGGGGGAGAGTTGTTGCCTCCAGAAACTGTTCGATTTCTATTCCCATTTGCCCTTGTGGGAATCATTATGTCAAACAATCAAGGACGTCAAACATTTTTAGGGGGTAGGTTAGTCTGTGGCTGCAAAACAACAAAGAGCCTTATTGTACTTTACAGGCTGACCAAATCTGATTGGTGCTATTTGTGTACTGAAGCCCACATTAAAGGACATAGCCCTTAGCTTTCCTTGACTCAAAAATAAGTAGGGGGATCTCAGGAAAGGGACAAGAGTGCTTTAACCCACATCACAGCTTGATGATTCCAATGTCTGTTGCTAAACATTGGCTCTCCTTTTGGCAATGCAAATCCCAAGGATGGACCCTTGACTTGAGCTGCAGATGAGGAAGGCATTCAAAGCCCACCCCGTGTTCAGTTCCAGATCCTAACTGCCTCATGAATATCTGCAGGGAGAGCATAAGAGCTTGCTCCCCAAATCTTAAATCTATGTATCCTTTTAATGTACACAGACACCAAATGTTGCCATGGTACGCACTATGTGTACACAAATTACTTTAAAAATACCACTGTAAACCCCCAAATCTTAAATCTATGTATCCTTTTAGTACACAGACACCAAATGTTGCCATGGTCCGCACTATGTATACAGTACACAAATTACTTTAAAATACCATTGTAAATTAACCCTCTCCCCAGAGCAACAACCCATGGATGCTCTTCAGTGTGTCTCCTATGTTTACTTTTGAGGAAAACATTGCTACAATAAAATGCAGCTCTCCTTACTTATGATGACTTACTTTACAATGCCACATTTCTCCAACCATTCCAATATTCACATATCCACCCACCCCACCAAACCCACTGTTATGACCCCCCTCCCCATGTAAAGATCTTTCTAAAGGAAAGTTTCTCAATCAACAAATGGGATGCATCCAGAAAAGTCTCCACAATACACCAGTACATCAGCTGGTGTCCATATTTGAACTGTTGGACCTGGCTGATGTACTGGCATATTGTGGAGAATGTCCCGATACATGATACATCTGATTTGTTGACTGCGAAACTTTTCTTTGCCTTGTTCATTGGACGGCTGAAAGATCTTTGTCTGGGAGCAATGAGGCACACACTACAAAATAAAGTACTGTTATGACCATTGTCATCCACTTACATCACCAAGTGTGAAAGCAAGCGATGGCAGGTGAGAGGAAGAAAGGAGAGCCCAGCAACTTAGCAGGAGAAAGGAAGTAGGAAGAACAAAGAAGACAGTGAAGTCAGAAGGGAATACACAGCAGGCAAGCAGAAGAGAGAAGGTGTGAGGGAGAAGTGAGAAGATAGCAGAGGCTTCATTTAGAAGGCAGGCAAATTCGCCAGGAGCCAAACCCCAACCTTAACATTGATCCTAATGGGAACTTTGTTCTTAGGCACCATCAGATTGCTTCCAATTTATGGTGACTTTTGTAGGGGTTTTGAGGTTTGTGAGATCTTCAAGGAGCAATTTACCATTGCTACACTCTCCCCAGGGATTTTCTGCAGATAAGTGGGGGATCTGCGTCTAGCGAGGAGGGATGTGGTGCTGTGGGCTAAACCACAGAAGCCTGTGCTGCAGGGTCAGAAGACCAGCAGTGGTAAGATCAAATCCACGCAACGGAGTGAGCTCCCGTCGCTCCATGTCCCAGCTCCTCGCCAACCTAGCAGTTTGAAAGCATGCGAAATGCATGTAGATAAATAGGTACCACCTCGATGGGAAGGTAAAATGGCGTTCCCTAGTCACGCTGGCCACGTGGCACTGGAAACTGTCTTCAGAAAAGTGCTGGCTCTACGGCTTGAAAACGGGATGAGCACCACCCCCTAGAGTCGGACATGACTGGATAAGAATGTCAAGGGGAACCTTTACCTTTTACCAGCGTCTAGCGAGACCTAGCCCAACACTGATTCTTGTTTGGATGTATAATGTATGCATTATCCATAAGGTTTCTCCAGGCCACTACAGTTAGAGGCTTAAACAAATGTGCATTATAAATGGCATCTCCTCAGTTTCAACACACCCTGCAGCCAAGAAAAGGAATCATCCAATTTGCTTATTTTCCTTTATCAATCCCTTTCCACTCTTTGTACCAAAAAGGGAAACACTCTGTCAACTTCAAAGGACTTTAGCTGATTATTGCCAGACCAATTATTAGGCTTCAAGCTCCACGTTCACATATGGAACAATTGCACAAGGCTGGCTTTTTTAAAAAATAGGGCACGGAAATGCGCGCCCATTCCCCCCCCTCTTCCTCCCTCGCCGCGAGAGGAAAAAATTCTTTCATTTCATTCCCCGCACCCGCCCTTAATGAATCCCATATGAGGAAATCCCTCTTCAATCCACGACGGGGTTGGCAGCTCTTACGATCATCTGGAGAGTTTTCGCCCCTGAAAAGGAAACGGGGGAGCGGGAGGTTAGGGAGAAAGAAAGAATGAATGAATGAAAGAAGGGGGGGGGGGGGAGAAGAGAGAAAGGAAAGGCATTGCCACTTTAAATGACTCAGGAAGTGTGTGTGGGGAGGGAGAAGCCCCAGACTGCCGGCCTGGACCGTGCTGCAGAAGTGAAAGTACTGTACTGCTTTTTTTCTGAAGGGGGGGGGCAGTTAAAATTTCTGCATGCCGTGGGGATCTCAAACGGCTTGCATTTGTCTATTTACGTGCTTAAAAGCAGGGCACAAATAAGATCAACAAAAGGATAAAAATAAAACAGAACGATTGTCGGGGGGGGGGGAAGGAACAAAACGAGAAAAAAAGGGCAGTTTTAATGCGGAGGAAAAGAGATCGGAGGGAGGACTCCACCAATCCGAAGTGAACACAGATTGTCCTTCGAGGTTACAAAGGTCACCAGAAGTTCTCCTTTCCCCTGAGAGGAGAGCTTCGGGCGTAGTATAGACAAGTGCGGGGTGGGTGTGGGTGTGCGTGCGTGGAGTGCAGGCGTCAGGCCTTCGCTCTGGATCGAGCTGGAAATGGCTTCTGCGGACCGGGAAGAGTTCCTCCAAGATGGCACCTGCGACGCTTGCGAGCCCGACGAAGCCCAGCCGGCGGCGGAGGTCTGCGAGGACTGCGCCTTCGCCTTTTGCCGGCTCCACGCCGACGAGCACCGGCAGAAATACGGCGCTCACCGGACGAGGGGCTGGGCCGCTCCCGAGGGGGGAAGGCAGGCAGGGAGCCGGGAGGGCGGCTCGGCAAAGGCAGCCCCCGAAGAGGACGAGCCGGGGCCCCGCAAGCTGGAGCGGAAGAAGTGCGAGGAGCACGGCGAGGACCTCAGCCTGTACTGCCAAGAGCACGAGAAGATCATCTGCGTGCTGTGCGCCGTGTCCGGCCCTCACCGGCAGCATGAGATCATCACGCTGAAGGACGCCTACGAAGCCTTCAGGGTAAGTATCCTGACCGGGCACTATGGCGCCCTTGGGGGGCGAGTGGGCATCTCGCTCTCTACGGAGTGGCTTTGGTGTCGGGCTTGATTTCACGGGTTCTGAATTGCCCCTGGAAAAGAAGCACTTTCTTATAACTAAGACCATCTTGCGTGCAAAAAAAGCTACCTTAAGCATCCAGAAAGGACGCCTGTGAAATTCTTGAGGGATTTAGAATGCGCCGGACAGAACGCGCGGTGGCCTGAACGATCCCAAGTGTCAAGATCGCGTCCGCTGCGGAAAGTTTAGAAGTCCGGAGGATTTTTTTTTCCTCCCCGCTTGTTTCTGCGGAGCCCCGCCCCCCGAAGGAGGAATTAGGATTGTGCCCCTTTCCCATGCTCCTCCTGCTTGTTAGAGATTTTGTCCCAGAACTGGAAGTAGGGGCAGTAAAAGGGTATGTGAAAAAAGGATAGACTGCTGGAGAAGGTAATTCGGAAGTCTCTGGAGAGCCCAAATTCTCGAGACCTGTTCCATTTCCTACAGGAACAGGGTTTGGCCAATCTTACGAGCAACTGTTTTCAGAATGGGCATTTTGAAATCAAATACTGTATGGGTTTACCAGAAGTCTAGCTAATTGTTGTGTAAGGTGACAGCAGGACAGAAATAACTGAATTTTGAATCCATGTACTCTCCTCCTTCAAAGCATTGTGACTGTGTTTTAGACTACACCAAGAAAGGCAGGGAATGTGAGAATTGCACACTTCAGGATACAGACTGTCAATACTATCAGTCTTAATTAATCCTTAATTACTGTGAGTTGACATCGGGTTGTTCTGTTCTAGTTATGAGCTCAAGTAGCTTCTCTCCCTTGGCCTATGACAGAGCCAAGCAGTTATGCCTACACTGCATCTATATAAGAAACAGGTTTTCTTCCTGAAACAGGTTATCCGTGCTTCAGAAAAGCA